TGCTGTAGAGTGCCGGGAAGGGAGCAGGATCCATGGGGAGTAGCCTGGCCTCTTCTGCAGGGATGCCGGGTCCAACCTGTCAGGCAGAGCAGAGTCAGGCCAGCTCTGGCTTCCTGAGCACTCAGGAGCCTGGGCAGGGCTGTGGGAAGCAGAGCACTCACTTCAAAGGGCCTGTGGGCAGCAGAGCATCATTTCAAAGATCCTGGAACTTTTCGTTGAGGGCCTGCATGATGGCTGAAACACAAGAGGTACCAATGGGTCTCCAGACACAGACATCCAGGACCCCACCGGCCGGAGCCCTATTCTCTGTGCCACAGAACTCCAGGCCAGCCGCCCACTGCCCTCCAGCCCCTGTGCAAGGAGCCTCGGGACAGACTCCTCCCCCCATCCCCGAGCTCTATGTGCAAACGTTTCTACAGGAGAACAGCACGGACAGGCAGTCCTCAAACGCTGGACCACAGCAGTGCAAGCCCTACTTGTAAAACGAACAAACACTTGACAACAAACACCTCACAATTCGCAACTGCCGGCACTCCAAGGGAAACTAAAGGAGGACTGACCGTGTCAATGCCCAGAGAGAGGGGAACCTGGGGGACTCATCTGCACAGCGCACGGGACAGCATTGCTTCTTGGTGCAAGTCCCCGCACTCAATGCACAGAGGGCTCCCAGCCTGGCCTGCTTGAGGTCCCTTCCCACTGAGAACCGCCCCTCAGCCCACCCCAGTCACCTGCACACAAACACTAGGCTCTCCCTCTGGCCCTGTTCCCATCGATCCCCTGCCCTGGCTCGGTCATACCTAGTTGTTCCTTGAGTTCCTCTATTTCCTTCCGTAGCATCAGACACTGGCCCAGCAGACAGGGGACCAAAGGAAAGAAAGAAAGAAAGATTATCATTCACTGTCCTGGCCTTCTCTCTGCTTCATTCACACTTCTTCCTAGTCCTTACACCTCCCACCCGCCACAGTCCTCTGACAGACTGCCAAAGAACCTCCAACAGGAAGGAGGTGCCCTCTCTCTGTGGATGTGGGATAGGAGGTTAGCTGTCAGCTCAGGAGCTGGCAGGGGCTGGCATCTGTGAGCTAAGAAAGTTGTACCTGAGGACAGCCTGGTGTGCCTTGTAATACTGGTTCACCCTCTTCAGCAGGTAATAAAGGACACACAAGTATATCCTGGTCACCTGAAAACAATAAATATAAATAACAAACAAACAAACAAATAAAGCAATGATGAATGAATGATTGATTAAATGTATTATGCAGCTTCTAGTCTTTGGATGCAGATGGTAAGGGTCCTGTGAAATCAAAAATGGTTCAATTTCCCCCTCTGCTGGCAGCAACTTGTATATATTGGTACATCTGTTCCAATAAGCTCTGAGCCTTGCTTCCCTGTTGCTCCCAGGCAGCCTGGAGGCTCTTTGTACCCTAGGATGATTGCTTGCCAAATCCAGAACCCGCGATGAACTCAGTGCCTGAGCAGAGCTCTCCAGTATAAACTCTGGTGTGCTAAAAATCCGTTTCTGGAGTTGGAGTTGTCCCACCCATTCACCGTCATGCATTCCACAGTCCCACTCATTTCCCAATGTGGTCTGGGGCCAGCCCTGCCCACACCCAGTCTCCTGTGGACTCCGGCCTCCCTAGACAGGGAAGCCCAAGGAACAAGGCTGCAATCCACCAGAGGAACAGAGCCTGAGGCTTCCTGCCTTTCCCCATCTCAAACCCCAAAGACTGCTGCTCTCAAACCCCAAAGACTCACCAGCCGGTGCAGGTGCTCTGGGTCTGGCACTTCTCTGGCTCAAGGACAAGAACTGAGAGTTCCCTGCAACTTGGGGTGCTCTGGTGTTGGGGTCTCCACTGCTCATTTCTCCACGATGCGTGCACGTGCAAGGCTGCTCTGCCCTGTGTGTTGGAAGCTCACACAAAAATTCCTCACTAAGTACACGTTGTGGAGGGCTGAGGGGCCGCTGGGGGAACAAACTGGAGGCCTGTGAGGCCCATCCCATCTGTACTTTCTGTTCCTGGGTCAGCCTCAGGTCAGGAGGCAGAGCTCAGCCAGGAAGGGGCCCACAGGCACTGGAAAGGCTCAGGATCTGGCCTGGCTTCCTTGGGGAAGAGCCAGGAGGGAGGAATCAGGAGGCCCTTGAGGCTGACTACACGTCCAAGTTGTGCAGCCCACACTGTAAGGGCTCTGGACTCAAATCACCCCAACTGTCAGCCAGGCCCACTTCCCAGCCCAGCCTGGCTAGAGACAGGAAATGCACAGGGAGGGGAATAGTAACCAACACCTCACTGAGCCTCCTTCATATCCACCCTCACTTACTACAAGGACCCCACACTGCACATCCTAAGCAGGATGAGTGTCCACTGACAAGCCCCAAGCCAAGGCAGGGGCAGAGGGAGCGGGGCAACGTTATGTGCTGGGGAGGGAAAGGGCAGGGTGAGAGGAGACAGAGGGTGCTCTCTCTACTCACTTGGGCCTGCAGGCCAGGATCTCTGGTTGGGTCATTATCTTCTTTGGCCCCTGGCTGGGATTCCTTTGTCTTCCTTGCCATGGATCTCTTCCCAGTGCAGAAAGGCTTGCACTCTTTGGGTCCCGAAGGCAGTGAGCATTTACTGGCCTTCCCAAGCAGGGCAACCCCGGAGATGGGGGGGAAAGTAGCTGGTTCTACAGGAGCTGACTTAAGTCTCTGTCCCCATGGTGGGAAGGTTCTTCCCAGGGATCCTCTTGAGGCATCCCACTGAGTCGGCTTCTCCTTGGCCGCTCCCTTCTTTCTAGGACTGGTCTTGGTCGGGGAGGCACCTGAAGCACTAGCAACAGGGGCAGGGGCAGCAGCAGAGCTGGCAACGGCAGCTCCTGGGTAGCTGGGTCTGCTCCCTTCTTTTCCCCAGACCCCACTTGGCTTTTTCTTAGACAGAGAGCCCTCCAGCTCGCCCAAAGCCTGCTTCTCCCCGCCTGAGCTGAGTCCTCTCGGAGTAGTGACCAGCAGAGAGGGGGGCATATGGACGAAGCTTCCCCTGCCACGGACATTCGTGCGTCTGCCTGTGTCTTCCAGCTCAGTGAGGCCAGTGGACTTGGCCTGGCCTCCTTCTTTGAGGCAAATGGTCACCCTCATCAATTCCGTCTCACTGAATTCGTCAGAAGACTCGGGGTCGGAAGACAGAAATTGAAAATCCTCACTGGCTATTATCCTACTTGTGGCTCCTCTTCTTGGGGTCACCCAGGCCCGGCCCCGCCCCAGACCCCTGGGGTGCTGTTGGCTAGCTGACACCTGCTTCCCTTCCACGGAGGTGGGGGGCCGCATGCCCCTCCGGCTCGTGCCTGCGTCCGAGTCTCCCCAAATGCCCAGGGGCTCAGCAGGGCCGCTTTTGGGGGACGGATGTCTGCGGACACCCCAGGCCTCCCGGTTGGCTACATGCTGCCCGAAGCTTGTACCCTCTATCGTCAGCTGGGGTACAAAGTCCAAACTGTCCCCCCTCTCATCCACGGGAGTGCCGGGGCGACCTTCGCAGCCCCAGACGACGGACCTTCCCTCCATCTCATCCCTGTCTAACCAGGAGTCGTACTGGAACGTCTTGGAGACCGGGAGGCACGTCTTGTCCTCACTGCTCCGCAACGACCTCTCGTCAGGGCCCAGGCCGTGTCTCCTCGGGGACCCATGGCTAAAGCGGCGGCGTCCTTCCGAGTGCTCCCCGCTTTCGGGCCCAAACCCGCTTCCCCGAACCGACACCTCATCAGGAGAGCTCATGTTTCCACCCCCCCGCAGACGCCACCCGCCCGAGGGGACGCTGTTTCCCCCTTCACCGCATTCTCAGCTAGGTCTTCGCCAAGGTAACCGCCCCCGCCACAGGCGCCCCACGCGCGCGCCTCAAACAACGCGAGACTTCGCGCCCCCTCGAGGGCCGTTCTCATTGGTCCGCCGCTCGGCGGGCCACCAATCAGAGCGGCTGTTGTTTGGCCATTACTCAAGGCCCTAGCCAATAGAGACGAGGGTGCGTAGTTCGCCACCGTTAAAAGGGCGGGGTTTGGGGCGTAAGTGCGAGGAACTTTCGAGACGTCCAGGTCTCGGGGAGTCACGTGTCCTCTGAGCTAACCGCTTGCAGCGCCTGAGGTGAAAGGCTCGGGGGTGACTTAGCGGGAATTGTCTCCCCTCAACCCGTGCCTCCCCGGCTGACGCCATGAGCTCCCCCGATGAGGTGGCAGCCCCTGGAGTCCGTGGTGACAAGGACGCCGCCTCTACCGGTGACATGAATTCCCGGGATCAGGGGTCTGCTCCTGAAGCTCACTTGGGCCAGGAGGGCAGGGAGCACTTAGGGGACCCCCTGATCAGCCCTAGAGTACCGAGGGGTTCAAGCCTCATCCAAGGTCCTCGGGAGATTGGAGAGGGTGAGGGCGGCCGCCCAGGTATGGAAGGCTGCGAGGTGGAATCGGGGCGGAAATTGGAAGCGACACAGGAAGGAGAAGGGGTGCTTAGGGACCCGGAAGGCCGGCCCAGTTCTCCCGTGGACCAAGAAGAGGTCGGTCTGGACTTTCTGCCCCAGCTCAGTATTGAGGCTAAGGCAATGATGCGCGAGCTGACCAACCTGCAGACCCGAAAAGTCTGCAGGTACCAGTCCCCACAAACCTGTGCCGCTGAACTGGCTGCCCTTTGGGGATGCATGGATGAAGGCTCCAACAGAGGGGCCCTGTCCCTGAGCTCTGTAGAAGGGAAGCAGACCTCTGCAGGCTCCCTGTACCCCCGGGGCCTGGGACGAGGCAGAGCCTGGGTGACCCCGCGGAGAGGAACCACAAGTAGGATAGTGAGCAGTGAAGCTGTCCAGTGTCCCTCCTACAACCCTACGTCTTCTGATGAGTCCAATGAGACAAGGGTGATGAGGGTGACCATTTGCCTCAAAGAAGGAGGCCAGGCCAAGTCCACTGGCAGCACCGAGCGGGAAGACACAGGCAAACACGCGAGTGTCCATGGCAGGGGAAGTTTCGTCCATGTGCCCCACTCTGTACTGTCCAGTGCGAACCGGACACTCAGCTCAGGCGGGGAGAAGCAGGCTTTGGGTGAGCTGGAGGGCTCTCTGTCTAAGAAAAAGCCAAGTGTTGTCTGGGGCACCGAAGGGAGCAGACCCAGCTTCCCAGGAGCGACTTCTGCTGCCCCAGCTGCTGGAGCGGCAGCCTCTGCTGCTGTCCCCGCACCTACTCCTGCTGCTTCAGGGGCCTTGCCCAAGACCAGTCCTAGAAAGAAGGCACCCCAGGAGAAGAAGCCCTTGACAGATGTCTCAAGAGGATCCCTGGGAGGAACCTTCCCACCATGGGGACAGAGACTTAAGTCAGCTCCTGTAAGGTCAGCCACCCTTCCCCCAATCTCCGGGGTTGCCCTGCTTGGGAAGGCCACTAAACGCCCAATGATTTCCGGGCCAAAAGAGTGCAAGCCTTTCTGCACTGGGAAGAGATCCATGGCAAGGAAGACAAAGGAATCCCAGCCAGGGGCCAAAGAAGATAATGACCCAACCAGAGATCCTGGCCTGCAGGCCCAAGTGAGTAGAGAGAGCACCCTCTGTCTCCTCTCACCCTGCCCTTTCCCTCCCCAGCACATAACATTGCCCCGCTCCCTCTGCCCCTGCCTTGGCTTGGGGCTTGTCAGTGGACACTCATCCTCTTAGGATGTGCAGTGCGGGGTCCTTGTAGTAAGTGAGGGTGGATATGAAGGAGGCTCAGTGAGGTGTTGGTTACTATTCCCCTCCCTGTGCATTTCCTGTCTCTAGCCAGGCTGGGCTGGGAAGTGGGCCTGGCTGACAGTTGGGGTGATTTGAGTCCAGAGCCCTTACAGTGTGGGCTGCACAACTTGGACGTGTAGTCGGCCTCAAGGGCCTCCTGATTCCTCCCTCCTGGCTCTTCCCCAAGGAAGCCAGGCCAGATCCTGAGCCTTTCCAGTGCCTGTGGGCCCCTTCCTGGCTGAGCTCTGCCTCCTGACCTGAGGCTGACCCAGGAACAGAAAGTACAGATGGGATGGGCCTCACAGGCCTCCAGTTTGTTCCCCCAGCGGCCCCTCAGCCCTCCACAACGTGTACTTAGTGAGGAATTTTTGTGTGAGCTTCCAACACACAGGGCAGAGCAGCCTTGCACGTGCACGCATCGTGGAGAAATGAGCAGTGGAGACCCCAACACCAGAGCACCCCAAGTTGCAGGGAACTCTCAGTTCTTGTCCTTGAGCCAGAGAAGTGCCAGACCCAGAGCACCTGCACCGGCTGGTGAGTCTTTGGGGTTTGAGAGCAGCAGTCTTTGGGGTTTGAGATGGGGAAAGGCAGGAAGCCTCAGGCTCTGTTCCTCTGGTGGATTGCAGCCTTGTTCCTTGGGCTTCCCTGTCTAGGGAGGCCGGAGTCCACAGGAGACTGGGTGTGGGCAGGGCTGGCCCCAGACCACATTGGGAAATGAGTGGGACTGTGGAATGCATGACGGTGAATGGGTGGGACAACTCCAACTCCAGAAACGGATTTTTAGCACACCAGAGTTTATACTGGAGAGCTCTGCTCAGGCACTGAGTTCATCGCGGGTTCTGGATTTGGCAAGCAATCATCCTAGGGTACAAAGAGCCTCCAGGCTGCCTGGGAGCAACAGGGAAGCAAGGCTCAGAGCTTATTGGAACAGATGTACCAATATATACAAGTTGCTGCCAGCAGAGGGGGAAATTGAACCATTTTTGATTTCACAGGACCCTTACCATCTGCATCCAAAGACTAGAAGCTGCATAATACATTTAATCAATCATTCATTCATCATTGCTTTATTTGTTTGTTTGTTTGTTATTTATATTTATTGTTTTCAGGTGACCAGGATATACTTGTGTGTCCTTTATTACCTGCTGAAGAGGGTGAACCAGTATTACAAGGCACACCAGGCTGTCCTCAGGTACAACTTTCTTAGCTCACAGATGCCAGCCCCAGCCAGCTCCTGAGCTGACAGCTAACCTCCTATCCCACATCCACAGAGAGAGGGCACCTCCTTCCTGTTGGAGGTTCTTTGGCAGTCTGTCAGAGGACTGTGGCGGGTGGGAGGTGTAAGGACTAGGAAGAAGTGTGAATGAAGCAGAGAGAAGGCCAGGACAGTGAATGATAATCTTTCTTTCTTTCTTTCCTTTGGTCCCCTGTCTGCTGGGCCAGTGTCTGATGCTACGGAAGGAAATAGAGGAACTCAAGGAACAACTAGGTATGACCGAGCCAGGGCAGGGGATCGATGGGAACAGGGCCAGAGGGAGAGCCTAGTGTTTGTGTGCAGGTGACTGGGGTGGGCTGAGGGGCGGTTCTCAGTGGGAAGGGACCTCAAGCAGGCCAGGCTGGGAGCCCTCTGTGCATTGAGTGCGGGGACTTGCACCAAGAAGCAATGCTGTCCCGTGCGCTGTGCAGATGAGTCCCCCAGGTTCCCTTCTCTCTGGGCATTGACACGGTCAGTCCTCCTTTAGTTTCCCTTGGAGTGCCGCAGTTGCGACTTGTGAGGTGTTTGTTGTTACGTGTCTGTTCGTTTTACAAGTAGGGCTTGCACTGCTGTGGTCCAGCGTTTGAGGACTGCCTGTCCGTGCTGTTCTCCTGTAGAAACGTTTGCACATAGAGCTCAGGGATGGGGGGAGGAGTCTGTCCCGAGGCTCCTTGCACAGGGGCTGGAGGGCAGTGGGCAGCTGGCCTGGAGTTCTGTGGCACAGAGAATAGGGCTCCGGCCGGTGGGGTCCTGGATGTCTGTGTCTGGAGACCCATTGGTACCTCTTGTGTTTCAGCCATCATGCAGGCCCTCAACGAAAAGTTCCAGGATCTTTGAAATGATGCTCTGCTGTCCACAGGCCCTTTGAAGTGAGTGTTCTGCTTCCCACAGCCCTGCCCAGGCTCCTGAGTGCTCAGGAAGCCAGGGCTGGCCTGACTCTGCTCTGCCTGACAGGTTGGACCCGGCATCCCTGCAGAAGAGGCCAGGCTACTCCCCATGGATCCTGCTCCCTTCCCGGCACTCTACAGCACTGGTTCTCAACCTTCCTGATGCTGCCCCCTTTTATACCATTCCTCTTGTTGATGTGACCCCCAGAATAAGATTATCTCACTGTTACTGTCCTGCCTGTAAATTAGCGACTGTTAGGAATTTTAATGTAACTCTCCCACAAGCTGAGAACCTGTGCTCTCCAGCCAGAGCCCACTTTGTGCCCCGACTTTGCCCCTCGCCTACCCCTGGGGACAGCTGTCGCCCACTAAGTAGTTTTGTCCTGTGTATGGTCCGCCCTTTCTCTTTTGGTGGGGGATGAGGTATAGCAACAGGGTGGTGGAAACTGTTCCTTTCCCACCCTTCAAAGAACACTAGCCCTCCTGTACACTCTGTCTCCCCCACACAGCTCCCATGCATGAGGTTTCCAAAATCTAAATAAAGTATTTTGTGGGAAAAAGGGAACAGTAGTCCTCAGTGGGATGTGGTCCTGCTTCTGAGCAGGCTCCACACAGCCAAGCTTCTCCAGCTGCGCTGGCGCCAGGGCTGACACAGCCAGCATTTCCTCCCTTTCCCAGAGGCCCCGTCCCTGCCCTGAGTCCTGCCATCGCCAGGACAGTTTCAGGAAACCCATTTTTGCCTCCTGGCCCCTGCATTCAGCAGTGTTTTCTACTTTCCTGGGGTTTTCCCATCCCAGTCCCTGACCTTCTTCCAGATCATTCTCTCCCCGGGAGGTGTGGCACTCGGGGAGTAGTGGCCTAGAATTGGCACTTCATCTTTGGGCTCCTGCATAGCCCTCCCCTTTGAAGTGAGTTGCCAAGTCCCCTGATTTGCCCCTGGACCATTTCAGTAGAGGGGTGGAGGGCACGATCACATGCCCGTGGTTGGTAGAGTGAGTGAGCCCCAAAGACTCTGCACACGGGCTGTAGGAACACGGAATATCACCTGCTTGTCTCTGGGTTGGTGGTGAGAAGTCAATCTTCAGTGGTTCTGCGGGCCGACAGGGTCGATGTCCCAGGGCAGTGGAAGAGAAGGTCTAGGACCCAAAGCTCCGCATCTTCAGGTCCTGGTCACAGGTGCTCTCATCCAGACCGCATTTGAAAAGTTCCGGTTTTGGAGAGGTTGGGGTATCTGTGTGTGAGAGTCGGGGGAGAGAGGGAAGGGGGATGGAGAAAGAGATAGAGAGGTGGGGGAGAAAGGGAGAGCAAGAGGAAGAGAGGGAAGTAAGAGGCTCCTGAGCCATGGTGTGTGTGTGGTGGTCAGAGCAATAAATAGTTGGGGGTGTGTCTTGTTTCTGCCTATGCTTTGTACACCTGCCTAGCCGGCCCGGGAGCTTCGGGGTTCTTCTCTCTCTTTTCTCCCATCCTGCTGTGGGACACCTGGTATCATCAGGTCTAGAAGCTTTTCAAGATTTAGGTTTTTTTTGTGTGTGTGTGGTTTTACGAGACAGGGTTTCTCTGTGTAGCTTTGCGCCTTTCCTGGAACTCACTTGGTAGCCCAGGCTGGCCTCGAACGAACTCACAGAGATCCGCCTGGCTCTGCCTCCCGAGTGCTGGGATTAAAGGCGTGTGCCACCACCGCCCGGGTTCAAGATTTAGTTTAAATGATATGTCTGTGTGTGTGTGTGTGTGTGTGTGTGTGTGTGTGTGTGTGTGTGTGTGTGTGCTTGCATGGAAATGTGTGGGTGTTCCCACATCAGTGCAGTTTCTGTTTGAGACCAGTCCATTGGATCTCCCTGAAGCCAGACTTAGAAGTGATGTGAGCTGCCTGACATGGGTGCTGGGAAGTAAACTGATATCGTCCAGAGGGGCAGCACACTGCTCTTAACCCCCAGCCATCTCTCTAGCACTGGCATCCAGATTTTACATGAGTTCCAAAGAGTGAGCTCAGATTTTTCAGGCTTGAACCATCTTGTTGACTTGTCCATTTGGTGTTCAAGATGATGCATCCACACATGCATGGAAGGTCTTCCACAGGTCCCTGCTCACCTTCCCACATGGCACAAATGATATTTGTGTGTTCCAGGTCCATCTTCCCCACTTCCTCCTGACTCCACATTCTAGTGTGGAGAGAGACAGGATGGCTTCCAGCTTTGAGCTGGGACCAAGTGCCAGACAGGATCTGAGATGTGGGGTGGGTGAGGCAGGTGTGGGTTCTGCCAGCTTGCATTCCTGAGAGGCGGGGCTTTTCACGTTTGATGTAGGGTGCTGGTGATCACAAAGCATCTGGTCCCGTGGACTCCGTCCCTTGCTATGGCCGGGTGTGCCTGTGAATCTGAGATTGTAGTACAGTTGTCCTTGGTGTGGAAAGCTCAGTCTCAGCGAGTGGCAGCAGGAGGTGACACCTGAGCCTGTGAGGGATGCAAAGCTCACAAGGAGAGGTTGGTGCTGACCTTCTATTAGAGGTGGTTTTCCAGTCTTAAACCACAGGAGGTCGTGGTGTGGTAGGAAGTGTAAGTCACAAAAGTCACTGTGTTAGGGCTGTCAAAAGGTTGGAGTTGCCAAAGTAGGCTCTGGCTCCTACCCTGGACTGTACTCTGAAAAGTCCTGCCCTGAGGGCCTGGAGAGATGGTTCAGCAGCTAAGATCATGGCTGCTCTGGCAGAGGACCGGGGATTGATTCCTAGCACCAATATCCAGCTCATAACCATCTGTAACTCCAGTTCCAGGGCATCAGAGGCCCTCTTCTGGCCTCCTTGGGCACTAGGCACAAACATGGTCCATAGACACTCATGCAGACAAACCATTCATACACAATTACAACTAAAATAAAAGTGTTTTTAGTTCTGACGTGGGCAGGGAAGGATGTGCAAGCTGCGTTCCTCAGATTAGCCAGTTTACTCCTGCCTGGGAAGCAGGAGCTCTCCTGGGACCTGGAATACCCGAAGCTAAGGAGAGCCAGGTAGTAGGAGTTCAGTGACCGTGAAACTAGGCGGGTCAGCTGCCTTGCAGAGGGGGCAGGTCTGGCAGCACCGTTTCCCACAGTCTCAGGTGCTGCAAGCCACAAAAATATACAAAGTGGGATTTCAGTGGATTATGACAAAGCTAATACCTGGCAGTAGCCAAGGGCCTTCCAGAGGTCAAGCTAAGGTTCAAGGACTCTTGGTGATATTTGGCTTTTGATTATCAGCCGTTTCCTGCTATGAGTTTCTTGTGTGCTGTTGTAGCTTTTCCATCATTGATTGGGCACCATTTCCCCTCTACTAAAGGAATATTTAGATAACCTTGTGCGCTGACAGCTATGCTCAGCCAGAACCCCAGTTCAAGCCTCCCTGTAATTATCATCATTGGCAGCATCCGTCCAGGTCCATCCCTAGATGGAGGAAAGCACCTTATCAGAGAAACTTCTGTACTCTCTAAGAACAGACTTAAGCATCCGGGCTACCTGTTTGAGAAGGCCTGGCGGATGTGCCAATTAAGCTTACCTTGCTCCTTTCCCAAATCTGACCTCTAGTTCCAGATCTCCCTTTAACTATCACCAGAGGCATCTAGCTGCACACAGGTTGCCTAGCAACCGAGCACAGTTCCCCCACCCTGCAGAAAAACGGCAGATAGTTTGAACAGATAGGAGCCACAGGAAAAAAGGCAGTTTTAATTTCTCGATTTACCCAGCAACTTAGAGATTCTTAACATTTTCTACCAATCACGTTTAAGACTATAGTGGAGCACATAAGATCCCTCCTCTTAGATATTACCTGAATTTAGCCTTTAGTTAATTCTTTCCCCCATTGGTCACTTCCCTTTGGGGTGACAAAAGATAATTAACAGTTTTTGCCTCTTTATGTGATTCTTATCACCCCTCCGTTTGACCCTGGAAGCCTGGATTTGCACTACCAAGGGATTATTGCTTGTAAGTGTATATATGCTGGGACTCCCAGGGCATGAGAGGACAGAGAAGACAAAAGAGAATGGAAGAACTAGATGGGTAAGAACTTGAGAGGAACAAACTGAGATGGGGAAGAACTAGATTGAAGAGCTAAAATAGAGTACCAGAGGAACAAGATGGAAGATGAGGAAGAGCCAGATGGGGAAGAATAAGATGAGAGAGAACGAGATGGGAGAGGAGCTGGTTTGGGAAAGAACTAGATGGATGAGAACGTAGAAGGAGCTATCTATGAGAGCAGAATATAAGCTTGTAACTGACACAGAATAATGAAGTATATGGACTAAGGAGTTTCGTGTACATAGATTCATTTCTTTTCATCAAAGATCAATTATCAGCTGGTTGTAGATTCTTCACGGACCTTGGAAAGGCACTATGAAGGGGCTGGCCCTCCATAGTCCCCGATGCTCAGGGGTTCACCTCTGGGCCTCATGGATTGACTTAGGGAGACAGTGAATATCACTTGTGATAGGACAACCATTGACCTGAGAGCCTGAATGGACAGTGGGGACTTAAACCATCCACTCAGAGCCCCTCCCTGAGAAGATGGTCTCTGTTCCTCACCATGTGGCTCTCATCCTGAGTCACATGGCTACTTCTGGCAGGGGTAAGAGCTGAGTGACAGCTGGCAGACTCCACAGCTGGGCTTCTGGCAGCTTGCACAAGCAAGCCAGTCCTGGCTGTGGTGCATTCCAGCACCAGGCACTGTTCTTGCATGTCCCGGGCAGCTATCTCCAGTGCAGCTGCATGCTGAAGCCATGGCAGGACACCAACAGCCCTGTGACAGTGACTTGCCAGCCCTGCCTCTGTCCTCTGAGCACACAGCCTCTCTCCTCTGCATTCAGACCTACTGCTGCCCAATACTGTTGTTTGTTGGGTTGCCCTTGTTGCTTTTGGGGAGGAATTGCAGATTCCCAGGCTCAGGTCTGAAAAATACATAAGCGAGGGCCCCTTTGGACAGGAGGAGGTGGGATGGTTCCCTTCGATCTTTCCCCCACCCTTTCTCAGCCAGAAGAGGGGTGCCCCAGAGAGCACCCAGGCTCTGTCCTGCCTCCTGCTGCTACTCAGCTCAGGGAGGGCCTTGCA